GCGATTGTTTCCTTTGTGAAGCAAGAACATTAATTAACTTTTCTATCAACCAGATCTGATCCGTGGCGGTTCACGTACTAACGCGTCCCCGGCATAGGTAAAGATCCCACACAAACAGAGACTAATAAATAAGATCTGTGTGTTGTTTGATAAAGTTATAATCTTTTATTTTTTTATTGTATAAGAAGATCTTATAAAAAGATCAACTTTTCTATTTTTTGAACTTGTAATCAATAAACTATTGTAACAGGTTCAATGACAATGAAAAAGCCAACTTTTGACCCAAACACCTAGGAACAACACTTCTTGTGGTTGTTGAATATTAGATCCTCGAACATTGACTCATATATGTTCCAAACACGCCTATACATTGCGTATATATAGCATGATGGTGGGAAGAAGAAGAGCATGGTCACATTGGAGAATGTTTGGTTAATCCTAAAAGTGAGGAAGAATCTGATATCTATTGGGGTGTTTAACTCTATGGGCTACAGAACCCAAATGCATGGAGGAGTCATCATGGTATATCATAGTAGAAATCTCGTCCTAATTGGGAAGAAGTGTGGAGATGTTTTATATTGGGTGCCTAAAGGAGCCGGTGTACAAGGTGGAGCTTCATCTTCAAGAGGGTGTACGACCAAGAGGAAGAGAAGTTGGCAAACAACTTGGGTTTAGAGGAAGAGTTGAAACGAGGAATCAACCCCATATGGAGGAGTCAAAAAGAACTTTGCAATAAGTCGATAGTTAGGCTTAGAATGTGTGGCAATGGAGGTTGGTGTCAAGCTATTAAAAGACTTGACATCAATGTGTGAGTGATGATCGCTCTGGTGCTCTTCGGAAGAGGGGGCTTAGAGGAGATTTCTCGAAGGTTTTCGTTCACTACAGTTTTTATAAATTTGTAGCAACAACGACGATCATTGTCCCCTAAAAAAATAAGACCAAAAACTAAATTGCCATCTCGAAGTCGTTCTCCTCCTAACTCATAAAGGTTTCAGGTAATGCAATATTACCATCATCTGGGAGTCAGTAGATTACCAACCAACAGTCGACACAAATTCAGCTGTGTTTACAACTGGAGGGATTTGTTGATGAGGATTAGAGGCAAAAGGAGGGAGATGAAGATGAGTAGAGATGAGTTTCTAAAAAAAATTTTAAAAAATGAAAGAGATGAGTTTCTAACTCATTCTTGGCATGGGAATATATTAATGTTGGCAAAACAACTAGAGAATTTATTCACAAAACGATTTTCAACATCTTACTGTCAGCAATTCACAATGCTAAATAGTTATAGGAATAAACTTCCTTCTCGCATGTTCCTGCGGAGTCTTCACAAGCTTAGCATCAAGCATGCCAAATCATTCCAACACATTCTTGATGTATTTCTCCTGAGATAGGAATAAACTTCCTTCTCGCATGTTCCTGTGGATCTCTATCTTAATGAAGCATGCCAAATCATTCCAAAGTCTCTACATTAATGAAGTGTTTCAAGTTGTCATGAGCTCGGCACAAACGCAAGAAAGGACCCCTACCAAAGCTAGAACAACGAGTTACCTTTCTGCTAATACACTTCTTCCAATTGTTGTTGACTTCTAGGACTTTACACCAACGGGAACTAGTTGCGATCCAATATTGCCTAGAACAATCACCAACTATAAAAACTACAAAACAATTACCTCCCAATGATGCCTCCTTGGAAAGCTCCCAAATGCCTGACTGAACACCTCCTAAAAGACCCCTCGCTCGATGGAGAGAAGTGCCAAACTCCACCACGGTCTTGCTCATCCCAATGTGTTCAAAGGACTTCCATCTACAGGTCAAAGCACTCCTCAACAACCTATGCACGGCATCACCAATCAAATACCCCAGCACCAAACTATGCCACAATCTAGCCAAATCCAATGAAGTCGTCAGAGCTCTATCAATCACCATGCTCCCAAACAAATAATATAAGTTACTCCTTCTAACGCCCTTCATCACAATCATGGACTTAAATGTAACCTTCAAACGTGCATCCGCTAAGGTCACCCTATAGCCTGCTGTCTCCAAAGCTCCAAGTGAAATGATGTTCTTCTTTAACTGAGGAACGAACCTCACTCCAACCAACTCCCGAATCACTCCGTCACTCATCCTGATCCGAACGGTACTAATACCACCAATAGGGCATTCATGATCATTACCCATGAGCACGAAATCCCCTCTTTCCAACTCCTGAAAGCTGGAGAACCAATTCCTTCTAGGACAAATATGGTATGTAGCACCCGAGTCCAACATCTACTCTGTAGAGTAGGCAACACAAACTAACGGTAGTGTAGATAATAAGTAGCCCGAAGAATTCGAATCTGAATCGTTGCCACTAGCCTTGACAACATTCACCTCTGTAGCCTGAATAGCTTTCTCTTTATTCTTCCCGGCTTGATCATTCAACTTTGGGCATTCAGCTTTCCAATGTTCATCTTCTTTACAAAAAGCACATTGATTCTTATGAATTCCAAAATGTACCCCTCTAGACTGTGACCTTCTACCTCAGTTTGAACCCTTTGCTCTTGCAACCAATGTCCCCGCTACCGACTCAATAGAAGTTTCCTTGTCCTTCTTCCTAAGTAGGTAATTCACTAATGCAGCGGTGACCTCACTATATGAAAGTGATGCCTTCTGATTAATAAGAGTAAGGACAAACGTCTCATATTTCTCATCGGGCAAGGAACTCAACAATAGCAGCGCCTTGTCCTCATCTTCAACAATGACATCTACATTCGTCAAATCTGCAAGAAGCTTCGTGTAGTGGTTCATGTGATCACCAATGGAGGTTCCTTTCTTCAACTGGAAGCGGTAAAGCCTCCTCTTCAAATGCAAGCGATTCTCCACACTCTTGGTCAAATCCCAAATCTTCTTCGCAGAAGTCTCATTTATCACATCATATTTTAGATCTTGAGTGAGACAAGACCTAATCACACCACACGCTGTCCGATTCATCTTTTTTCAAACCTTCTCATCAATGTCGTTCGGTTTCGCGTCCAACTCCAACGTATCTTCCAAATTCTGCGCATTGAGCGCATCCAAGACTTCGCATCGCCAAAGTCCAAAATTGTTAGTGCCATTGAACTTCTTCACGTCAATCTTCATCGAGTGGATATTTAAACTTTAGACAGTCTTCACACCTGAAGAACCACCCTCAACTCCCTCTTTCTCGGCCATAATCCTCAACACACCAACAACCAGTACGGAAACAAACGAAGAATAGATCCAAAACTAAGAAAAGAAAGAAGCTTTACTAAAAAGATCCCACCTTTCTCACCAACTGAAACCCTAGACGGGCTTCCCAAATCGATCTACTCCTCCAAATAGCCTAAGCATAGCCCGAGCTCTGATACCAATTGTTGGGACCTTATACCAATTGTTGTTGAAAACTGTGTCGAGAAACCAAAACCAAACGCCGATCAAAGAGTGCCAAAACCAACCAAAATCAATGCACAAACAAAACACCAATTTTAACGTGGTTCGGCAATTGCCTACATCCAGGGGACAAGAAGGGGATGAGGTTTCCACTAATAGAGAAGAAGAGTACAACTTGAGATTACAAATCATTCGAAGGAACAAACTAATCTCACCAACAAAGCTCTTAATCTCTCCAAATAAACCCTAATCAAATAGCTCAGAAAATACCTCTTTTCTGTGCTCCAAATATCCCAAACTCTTGTCTTAAGAAACCCTAGAACGTGTATTAGTATTTATACAAACACCAAAACCAAATAAGAATAGGAAACCAACATATGGGCCTGACCCGCTATGCGGCCGACCGCCACGATCGACCGCGACCAACAACAGAACCTGAAAAAACACTTACAGGGTCTGCCGGTACAGGGTCTGCCGGTCGACCGCGACAAACGACAGAGCCCAATCACTTACAGGGTCTCGCGGTCGACCGCGCCAAATCCAGGCACATACTCAGGCCTCTGCACGATCGTGGTCGACTGGCCTTTCGCCGTGATCGACCGTGAAGCTCCAAGTGTGACTCCTGCAGTCTTCAAAACATGTTCTTCACCAAATCGTTCACGGTTTCTTCACACTACAGTTTTTATAAATTTGCAACAATAGCGACGGTCATTGTCCCCTAAAAAGATAAGACCCAAAACTAAATCGCCATCTCGAAGTCGTCCTCCTCCTAACTCATAAAGGTTTCAGGTAATGCAATACTACCATCATCGGAGTCAGCAAATTACCAACCAACAGTCGACACAAATTCAGCTGTGTCTACAACTGGAGGGATTTGTTGATGAGGATTAGAGGCAAAAGGAGGGAGATGAAGATGAGTAGAGATGAGTTTCTAAAAAAATTTCTAAAAAATGAAAGAGATGAGTTTCCTACTCATTCTTGGCATGGGAATATATTAATGTTGGCAAAACAACTAGAGAATTTATTCACAAAACGATTTTACTCATTCTTGGCATGGGAATATATTAATGTTGGCAAAACAACTAGAGAATTTATTCACAAAACGATTTTCAACATCTTACTGTCAGCAATTCACAATGCTAAATAGTTACAGGAAGGGTGATCTTCTCGAGACTGAGTATTACTTTTGATATGTTAGACTTGTCATTGTTACTCTGGATTAAATTAAAACGTCTTCAAAGGGTTTAGTAGAATAAATTAAGTTGAGGAGGGTTTTGTGCAAAACAAAAGTTTTACGAAATTAGAATAACTAAGGGGAGTTATCTACAGGACCCCCAAAGTAAAGGGGTTTTTCTGAAATTAATTAACCCTAAATTATCTTATAGGATATTCGTATCCCTATTAGATTATTTTTTAAACAACACGGTATCTGTAACCTTATTTGTATAGCATATGTCAATATGATATAATAATAGATACAGTATGCAGATGCATACCTGTGTTGAGTGTCTATACCCTGTGTCGGATACGAATGCGGATAGGTTGATTTTACCCGGACCCGTTTGCACCGCTACTCATCCCAATTACAGTTTTTCAACTGAAAGCTGGTGATCACCAACAAGAAGGCAAAAGCAGACCTCAAACACAAAGCAAACCGAGCAATGGCCATCTCCATCTCCTTCAGCCAGCAGCTCCACTCTCCAAGAGACCAACTTCTTTCTTCGTCATCTCAGCCGAGCAATTGCCGTCGCCTTTTCTTTAAGTTCTCACCGTTATCTCCTCCTCTGGGACACACCTCACTGAGCTCCCGGCTGCATTGCTTATCTTCTGCTGTTCCTCGGGTTCTCTTTCTCTCAACTGATTTTTGCCAGCTTCAGTTACTATTTCAATGGGTTAATTGCAGATAGACCCCCTTAGTATCGTTGTTTCGCGTACTTGCAATTAACCCTCTTCCCATTGACAGAAGTATTTGCAAGGAGAGGATTTGGAGGAGGAGCTGATAAGTACAATAGGAGAGGAACTGTCTTCATTTGAGATAGGATCAACAGAGTCTCTTCATGAATCTCTTCAGTTGGTGGACTTGATACAAAGGCTTGGGATCCAAAGATTTTTCGAACATAAAATCGACCGAATCCTCAAATCAGCTTACATGTGATGAGTTACTCAAATTAACATGAGTTTTAGTTTGTTTTAGTTACTTTTAACCAAAGATTATTCAGATTTCCACTCATTTTTCTTCTAACAAGGAAAATTCTTTTCACGCTCGCCTGTTTATACACTTCGATGATTTATAGACCTCATTCCTCATGAGTTGCATCCCCTCTAATGATTTTCGTCCAATGTACATCTAATAGATCTTTAAAAGGACTTCTATGCTTTTCGAAATCGATTGTTTCATTTAAATCTAATTCAATGATATACGTTGTAATGTCTACTTTGTAAATTGCTTACAAGCGCAGCTATAGTATTTGGGTTAGAAAAAGCTTAATCTAAATTAGAATTTGTCCAGTTCAAGTTAGACAGCTTAAAGTTTCCCCACCGTGCACGCACACGCACACGATTCCTTCCCCACTTTTGTTCATTTTAGAACAACCTAGTTCTCGCACTATTCCAACCCCAATATTTATTAATTTATGTACTTTTTTCTTGTTTCAAAGCCGGAGAATTACTATAATGTATCCATGATCCAACAGACGAACTTTACTGGTCAACTCATAACGTATCCGCACTCTAAATTTACATTTTAAACGCAGGCAATGGCATGACAAAAATGGACTTATTGATGCGAATGTCACAGTCCTTGGATTTCGTCTCCTTCGACTTCAGGGTTACCATGTACAAGGAGGTACATTCCTTTCTTCTTTAATTATATTAAAGATTATGGCTAAATATCATAAAAGCCCCTTTAACTTTCTAATATTATCAGAAAATCTCCCTTAACTTTCAGAATATCAAAAAACGC